AGAAATCAAAGGATGCTCATAGCTAGTATAGTACTTACCGAACCTGAGAAAAGATTAAAAAGGAAAAGTGTTAGCCAGTTGTTGTGAGACTTTTTTTTTAAAATAAAATCGCTGTATGTATGAAGTAAACCTACATGATCGTTTTACATCCATTCTGATCAAAATTGAACAAGGCAATGAAAAAAATCCAATAAAAAACTATTACAATTAGATCGAATTATAAGATGATAAGATAGCAAAACAAATAACAATATATGGATGCCTTCTATATTTCTAATATATTGGAAATAGTAATTGCGCTTACCGGAGATGGCGCGAATAGCTTGCATTAAGAGGTTAAAAGTTAGTACGGTGACATGGCTTTTAGTGGAAGATGATATAGATGGTTAGTGGAAAATGATATGGATAATTAGTAAGAGATGACGTATGTGGATGACTTGCATGTTGAGTTAGAACTTGCAATATAAATTATTTTTATAAGAGATATAGATAGAATCATCTCTCTCCTTTTTAATCAATATTTCTTTTGTATAATACCACTCTTATGTTACCTGGTACTAGCCACACACACCTAACGCAATTTGAATCAACATTCCTTTTGTATGGACGGACAAAGAAAGATATATAAGCTAGGATGTTTTTTTATAATGTATATCACCGTTGCTCATGCATGTCTACGTAGGGGCAACAAAAATATAAACGAGAATGAGCTCGTTGCTCATGAGGACGACAAAAATTCTTAAAAATCGTTTGTGTTAGAGGGCATCTAAAATCAGGACCAGTGAAAGAAATTAAATCCCCTTGACCGGCACTGTTGCATTGCCCTCTATAGTGTGCTCGTTACATATAGAGTTTTTCTTTTCGTTTTAAGTCAATTAGCACACTGAAAGAACAATTTAGCGCATACTCTAGCTAGAGAGTTGATGCAGCAGAGGCACCACATGGTAAGCATTCTCAAAGGATTAGAGAATCCTGCATACGCTATTGCAAATGTCACAAGATTCTAGGAACAATTTTGTATAAGGGCGGCTGGAGCAAAGTGGAGACCACCACCATTTGTCAAGGGCAGGCTGAGCTCCACTACATCCAAACATTTTGAGCCAAAAATACACAATTCGTCCGGTTGCTCTTGAGCACGATATTCCACTCCAGATGACAGATGCTTATCAACTCTATCATTGTGGGACACGGACACATATGAAAGCATCTCTACACATATTTATCTATTCCCTTTTAGATCCTTTTAGAATTTTTTCTTAATTTTAAATGGGGCCTTACAATAAAATTTATACAAGTATAAACTCAGCTAAGAATAGTGGCGTATGAGTTTTCTATAAGGAAGACGCATTGGGTTGCTATGCTATGGAACAATTTTCTCCGGCACATAAACTCCTCAAGGTTGAGAAGAGCCCAATTTGTAATTAAACAGCTCTCCGTTTTTCTTTTCTAATAAAAAATGATGATACCATTTTCTCCTCCCCCCTCTTCCTTAATTTTAGTGTCATATCACCATTTTGCTTAGTTGCTGGCACCCTAGTTCATGATACTAATGGGAAACATCCTAGTTTATAGGTTGGTATTGCTCTAAGAACTCCGCTATTAATGATGGTATATGAATGGAACTTTCCTAACTATTAAATCGGACAAATGTTCTTTTAGTTAACCATAGAAAATTTACAAATACAATAATAATACCTTGGAGGAGGAGTATAAATGCCATGTTATCTCAAGACCCATCCTGATACCGGAATCGGGCAATGACAGAACTCCAAAAGATTTTTTAGTATAAACAACAAAAGGCCATAACTACATATCAAGCCATTAGTTGCATACTAATAAGTATAGTACTAGTATATAGTTTTGGAAAACTAGTAGAAACATAAATATTCCATCTAATATGTGATTACTAGGACTCGAAAAAATGCGGTTATTAGGACTGGAAATTTAGGAGGACCTATAGAAGTATATATAGAAAAAATAGGTATTTAGCTAGAAGTATCTTTTGTTAGTGCTAAAAATAATGATGTAAAGATGATACGACTAAGTATGATATGAAAAGGATGCCTAGATGAAATACTAGAGATTGTAATTTAACACAATCACCGGTTCCCGTTGAGAATTAGGTGGTACTTTCTGCGATCCTAGAGGCTGAAATGCACAATGCAAAATGACGGTGTTACTACTACTAGTACTAGAAATTTCATAAGATAACATTTTCTGACAAGATGTAGTCGCGCACTCTCGGACACGTGTACCTCACCCATTACATTTTCAAGTACAGTGCCACTCATCATGACTTCATGAGTAAAGTGAGACGAGTTCTATAGCTCGAAAAAAAAAAGTTCAAGAGCAATCGAAGTAGTACTGTGCAGGTGTCGACATCCAGCACGGTGTGTTCCTCTATCTAGGATTTATTTTCACGGCCTATTTGCAACACAGGAATTTCATAGAAAATTGTACAAAGTTTTAACAAAAACTAGTTTAATTTTATAGAAAATACAGGAACATAAATTTTTCTTGTGTTCTAAACAGGTCTTACTAGGAAAATCTTCCTTGCCTCGGTACAATTCTCTCCGGACGACTTTCTTTTCAGCTCCATGATGGCATCGAGGAATTGTCGTTGTACTCATGGCGTCCACTCGGCATGCAACTATTGCTTACTATGTCAAAAGCAGATCCATTCAACAATGTTGATCGATAAAAGAGGATCGGCAACGTTAACAAACCTATGCTATACACTTAGCAAGCACAAACATTTTTGAAGTGGGCAAAGAAGAAGAGATACTAAATTGTTTCGATTTAATAGGCTCTGTTTCGAACAACTTCTTTAGCAACTTCAGGAGCTTCTTAGAGATAATTTTTACTAAATAAGTGTTTTTCAAATACATCTACTAGTGGAGTCTTTGAAAATATGATCTCATAGGGTGGATGTTGGATGGAGCTGAAAATACAGCTTCTATCAGCTCTCACTCACTTTGGTGGGCTTCAATGTGCTCTATGGTGGCGGAGTCGAAGTGGCAGGAGCTACGCCAAACAGCTCCTTATATAGTGAAAAGAGGAGAAAATCTATGCTTGCATAGGCTTTACAATAGCGCGGCAAGGCATAGTCGCTTGTTAATTAGCCTTGTCAGGCACACGGGTTCACAGGCTTACATCGTCAAGTTTTATTTGCATTAATATATAGCTTGACCAAATCACAATTCATGGCCAAAGTATGCTATGTAGTTGGCCTAGGATTATTCTAATCCAAACTGTTATGATCGTCGTCACCTATAGGCGTTGGCAGGGGCGGATCTAAAGGGGGGTCTGGGGGGCTCCAGCCCCTATAGTTGGTGCATCAATGAAAATATGGAGAGGGTGAGAGAGAAGAAGAGGTGGAGGAAAGAAGAAAAATGGAGAGAGAGGAAGAAGAAGAGACCAGCCCCCCTTCAATCCTGTTCTACATCTTGGGCGTTGGGGACGCAATAGTTGCTAAGGCCATGGGCTGATAGGGGGGCACAAGGCCCTTAGATATTTTCCCTTTTAATTTCCATAAAAATAGGATCTTATTTAATTTGTTTAGGAGAGGATAAATACCTCTAAATAGAAATTAGGATAATCAAGCAAGGCAATATTTGTTGCTCGCCTCAAGGGCCACCTACGTGACTTTCCATCTCCCTCATGCTCAGACCCACGCTCGCCTCCGCCGCCGTCCGCGACCACCATGGCTCCAGCTCGCCACGTCCCTCACCCTCGTCCCCCCAGTCTCCTATCCCTATGCTCTTCGCAGCCGCGGTAGGATCAAGGATTCTATCACGAACAACTTTTCAGTTGGTCAGGAATCACTAAATATAATTGTAGGCCAAATTAAGAATACGGATTAAAGCTTTTGGTTTTCCTTTCTTATATCCAAAAGCCAAAAACCAAAAAAAGGAATGCTGGAGGCTTTTTCAAAAGCATTTGCTTTCAATTTCATTTTTGAAAGTTTGAATTTGATCTCTTTTCAAAGAATAAAAAGCTCTTCCATAGTTGTTTCAAGAGAGATAAAGATAAAAATATTTTATCTTGTTTAACTAAACAATTTTCACTTTTCTCTGACTCACAAAGACACTGCTTTTTGTTTATGTTGATTTTTTTTTTGGCTTCAACCAAATGGTGCCTAAAGCTTTTGGTTTTTCTTTCTTATATAGAGTAAAAAAGGAATCTAGACGAATTTCAGTTTGAATTTGATCTCTTTTAGAATCTCTATATAAAATAAACATATCTAATGATCACCCTGTTCGTTTATGTTAAAATTTGGCTTATGCTGATTTATTGTGAGAGAAAAACATTGTTCGTGGGTTGAAAAGTAGTTGAAGCGAACATGGTGAATATTTATAGCACAAATTAAATCTCGCCGGCTTTACACTCAATTTTGGCGGGAGCTGGACCTAAGCAATTACTACTACTACCATTACTATTATAAGGAAGGAACATGAGTAAGTGTAGACACAACGCAGTTTACAAATCGATTCAGGATTAAGAATAAAGCATTCTGCTAGTGCTAGATACCAAAAATTCCTAACCCAACACCTCACTCTTCCGATCTTCATCTCCGCGGCAGCACGAGGCTTTCGGTCCGTCTCAATCTCCATCTCCATCTCCATCTCCATCCGTGGCACGCAAGAGACGAGGCCACGACTGACTGGAGGCCAACCCCAAACCCGACGCGACCGGCAGGCAGCGGCGCACCAACGCAAAGGCCCCACCCGCCCACCGCACCCAGCAGCGCGCCCACTCACGAGACCGTCCACCGCGACGCGCTCTGCTGCCCCCGCCCGTGCCCACCTCCCCTTCCCCCTCCCCCTCCACCTCCGCAGCGCCCGCGGTAACCTCACCACGCCACGCCACATCGCGTGCGAGCCCCAACCGTCGCCGGCCCCGCCAATTAAGCCGACCCCGCGGCGCGATCCGGTGTCCACTGCTGCCCCGCTGCCCTGCCGCCGAGGAGGAACTCCACGGTGGGCGATCACAGGGGGGGGATGCTAGAGGCGAAGCCGCCGTCGCCGGGCTCCGGCGCGGCCGGGGCGGCGGCGCACATCCACGGTCACCGGCGGTGGGCGGCGCCGCTGCTGGCCTCGGTCCTGCTCTCGTCGCTCCTCATCTCCGCGTCGCTCTTCTTTTCCTCCTCCCGCGCGCTGCTCCTCTCCTTCTCGCCGCTCCCCTCCGCGGCCTCCGCTGAGCCTCTCTTCGTCGAGGCCAAGCTCCGCCAGCAGATGCGCGCCGAGGAGCGCCCGGCGCGGGGCGCCGTGCCCAGGATCGCCTACCTCATCTCCGGCTCCGCGGGGGACGGAGCCGCGCTGCGCCGGACGCTCAGGGCGCTCTATCACCCGGCGAACACGTACGTCGTGCACCTCGACCTCGAGGCCCCCGCCGCCGAGCGCGCTGAGCTCGCCTCTGCCATCCGCGCGGACCCCGTCTACGCCAGGTTCCGCAACGTCAGGGTCGTCACACGGGCCAACCTCGTCACCTACCGTGGCCCGACCATGGTGGCCAACACGCTGCACGCGGCTGCCATCCTGCTGCGCGAGGGCGGTGATTGGGACTGGTTCATCAACCTCTCCGCCTCCGATTATCCGCTCGTCACCCAGGACGGTAAGCGCAGATGCGATCTGCCTCTTTCGGCCCCCCAAGTATCGCGATTGGATCTATCCATCGCGGGAAGACGCGACCTTTGATCCGAATTTTGGTGCTTCCAAAGGCGCGATCTTTGCGTATGATTTGGGCGAAATCAATTCGAAGTTTGGGTCACTCACTGGAGGATACAGTGTCTGCCTGGGGATTGAAACTTGGCCTACAGTGTCTGGCTGCAAGTGTTTGCCAAACATGCGATTTTATACGCGGGCTTGGAGTTGCCAATTGGGGAATGGGGTGAGATTAGTTTATGACATGTTTTTTTCCCAATTGGTCTGGGAATTTGGTAAGATTTGATTACTTTTGCCGCTTCTAGGTGGTATCAGGGGAAAGCCTATCTTGGGCGTATTTCTTTCTTTAAATAGAGCCTCTCACTGAGTCGCCTCTCTTTCTCTCTTGATTGCAATCTTGTTTTGCTTCTTCCCTTGCGATTTACTACCGTTATGGATTCTTCTACTTGTTCATGGTGCAAACATTTTTGTTGTGATCAACGTGTCTCTTTGTTTGTCTATCTATTGGCAGATCTGTTGCATGTGCTCTCCGAGTTGCCCAGGCAGCTTAACTTCATTGAGCATACCAGTGACATCGGATGGAAGGAGTAAGTTTATAGTTTGTCTGAAAGTTCTGTTATCTGTTCCTACGAGTTCTGCAGTTGCTAAATATGTGTCTCTGTAGGTACCAGAGGGCGAAGCCAGTGATCATCGACCCTGGGCTATACAGCCTGCAGAAGTCTGACGTTTTCTGGATAACAGAGAAAAGGAGTGTCCCAACTGCGTTCAAGCTCTTCACTGGTAAATATACCATCATCGTTCCTGAGAATTCTGAAATGAGCTCTCTGTCCCCTTCCATTACCATATCTCCCAGCAGGAAAAAATTTGCAGCTGACTAGCAGAGTAGCAGTTGAGATAGCACTAGATAGCTTCATTTTAGCTGTCCATGGACATATTGATTTGGTCTCAAATTTGTTGAAACACCAATTTTGCTTAAAGAAACCAAGAACACAGGATATCAGCTCATCTCACGGAGCTGCGGTGCCGCTGTGTATAGGTGGGGCAGGGGTTCGGGGGTTTTCTCGATCTGCGTGAGAAGATCTTCTTCTTAAGCCGGAATACACAGGGGCTGTCTAGCCACCGCGGATCGAGTTTTATTAACAGTGAAGCCAATTAATTAATCTTCTTGTTTTTCTTGGTATGGTACCTTGAAAAGTTTTCTGAATCTGAATAAAGAAAATGGATTTAACTTTGATTCAAAGATGGCTCAATTGGTTGCTCAGATATGGCCCACCCAGCAATCAATTTCAGACCGTTTACATATTTGCAGATACAAGTTGTCTAGAAACATTCAAATGTTTTTTCCTGCATTTTTCCTTTTAATATTATCAAGACATGTATGGGACTTTAATACCCCAAGAGATGCTAAATATCATGATTTCCGGGTCGCTGAAAATCACAATCTTCTAATGGGGAAGTAGGTATGGATCCTTAAAAAGTTATGAGAGAACAAAAGATACAGCAATAAGTGTATATCAACGTAAGTTTAGTGAGGGTAAGCATCATGCGGAAGGCACTCAGATTGGATGCTTTGAGGTAGCACTTCCATTTACCACCCTGGCAAGCACCAGCTTGCGTGAATGGTGAAAGTGACATCCTAGCTTTTCTTGTTTTCTTGATCTAAAGTTATCATTTCCATCCCCTCTGATTTCACAGTTTATTGAATACAAAATAAACGACTAACATTAAATATTTTTACAGAGTGTTGGCATTAATTTATGCTTGGTCGCAGAAGCCATTAATGTTGATCTGTGTGCTACTTTCTATTCATGAAAGTATCATCTTATAGTCTTTGAAGCTATGCTTTAAGTGATATTTTTTGGTCCTTGGCAATTTAGTATATAAATTGACATTTCCTGCCCAATTTTCTTCACGCTATATATGTTTCCTCACTTTGCACCTGTGGAATATGAATGCTTGCATTGCACAATTTTCAGGCTCAGCATGGATGATGCTTACACATCAGTTTATTGAATACTGCATATGGGGATGGGACAATCTCCCAAGGACAGTCTTGATGTATTACGCCAATTTTCTTTCTTCACCAGAGGGTTACTTCCACACAGTCATCTGCAATGTCCCGGAGTTCTGCAACACCACAGTCAACCATGATCTACATTTCATTTCTTGGGACAACCCACCAAAGCAACATCCTCATTATCTCACACTTGCTGACTTTGATGGTATGGTTAACAGTAACGCGCCCTTTGCAAGGAAGTTTGGAAGAGAAGATCCTGTGCTGGACAAGATTGACCAGGAACTATTGGGCCGCCAACCTGATGGATTTGTGCCTGGTGGATGGACAGATCTACTGAATACAACTGAGAAAGGGAAACCCTTCACTGTTGAGCATGTCCAAGATCTCCGCCCAGGGCCTGGTGTGGACAGATTAAAGAAACTTGTCACAGGCTTGCTCACACAAGAAGGTTTTGATGACAAGCATTGCTTGTGAAACTCCCAGTAAGACGATTCTGGGGCAGTTGATTACACGGCCAAATTTGAGGGCATTGAGCCATTTGCTAGGAATGCCTACTAGCCGAAGCAGCAGCACATAGCGTCATGTACGCGTGGATGCAACGATAAGATAGGTGCTCTTATAGACAACCGCTTGAGTTGAGTTACCGTACAGCAGGAGACCACGGATGTAGCAGGCGGAGATTATACAGAACTAGTAGCTCATTAGGTTGTGTTAGATGATTATATCAGCCCCCAACCATCAATAATGTTGGAATTTTTGACGTCTCTGCGCTGCGGGTTGTGCAAGGTAGTCCATTCGTTGTTTGGAAGCCATGGTACCTGGTGTACCAACTGGTAGCGTGTGAGACTCCGTTGTATTGACTAGTGGATATTTCTGGGCAAACTGATACATTTGATTGCACACATGTATTCATTTATTTCTTTTCCTCTTTGATGAGTATAGAAAAATGCGCGTGCTGTTTTCATACCTGCATTTGGTACAACGCGGGCGGCTCTGCCGTCCTTTTTTCTGTTGAGAGAGAGAGAGAGTTATAAATGCTGTTGCAATTTGAATATCTGTATTTGCATTGCTGTTTGGAGTCTGGAATCTGGATCGTTTAAAGTGAGTTTTCCCATGTCACCTGTAAATGTAGTAAAGTTTCTAATGGAGCATCTGGATACAACCCAGGAATGGGAAGAGAGAGAGACACACAAAGGAAAGTTTTTAAAATGTTGGACCTCATGTTTGATTTTCTTTAAATTCCTATAGGTATAGCCATTCCATATGAATTTTTGTGTGATTTTAGGATGGCCAATCCTTCCTTCCTTCTTTTTTTTTTGAATTCAATCCTTTCTTTGCAAGGGTCACGTAGGAAACTCACTATAGGTTTACAATCCTGCAAAATTTCTTGACGAATCCTATATTCTAAAGGAGGCCTAAGCCTAAGTATGTCTTAGTTTGCATGTGGACTAAGATGTGAACTTTATTGAGTCCCATCAATACCATTTCAAAAAGAACGTTTTTTCAGTTTATGCTTAGGGCCTGTTTAGAACGAAGGAATCCAAAACACAGGAATAGAAAAAAAACGCAGGAATAAGATATGATGAAAAGTGAAAAACTATAGGATTTCAAAACACAAGAACAGAAAATTGTTAGCAACCCTACTGGATTGGCTAATAGATAACTTGATTCAGAGCAATCAGAGTACAGGACCTCGAGGGTAAGGGAGGTCAGAGCAGAGAATGAAGGAGAACAGGGTACAGAAGAAGAGACTGAGGAGGAAGATGAACAGTAGCCTAGGAGAGGAATGTGTTGTTCTGATTACTTGTTCGATCCCCTTCCTCTTGCCATCCTGGCCCTTTATACTGGCTTGGCCTTGCTTTTGCTTCTGTCTGACAGCCTGGCCCCACATGGCAGTCCATCCTACACATATCCCTGACATTCCCCCATTCTTAAAATTCGGCTTGCCCCCAAGCTGATGGAGAAGTTCGGAACCACCAGGATCCCAAGGAAACTGCAGAAACTCTTCTTCTGAATATGTCGAGCTGAAGCAATCAACATTGCACTGCACTTCCTTGTTGGTAGTCAAGAAGCCCATATCAAGCAATATAAATTCCCTGCAGAAGACCTTGCACTTGATACATGGTGTTGCAACTGGAAAGTTCTGTCCGGTCACTTCAAGCAAGAAACACCGACAATTGCCACCACACTTCCGCTGTACTCGCTGTTGAATCAGTGCACAGCCAGCCATACTCACTGATAGCAAAAGCTGCAAACCACCAGGATCCCATGGCACTAATCTGAACAAGTCAGCCTGAGCAAGGAAAATGGAGATCCAGCGTTCCCAAGCCCAATCAGAATCTCTGGGAAACTAATCAAGTGGTTACCCGATGCCTCCATAGTGAAAATGTGCAGTAACACCATAACAGTAGTTCCCATCATCTTTTCTATCTCAAAACCGAACTGAAACTCCTCATGAGCAAGAGAATTAATTGCAAGTAGCAGCCACATGGCGCCAATTGGTGGTGCTTGCACAGTTGTGGTGAACTGCTGCAATAACATAATGTTGCTATTGAATTTGTACACTGGAACCAATACTTCTAGCTTGAGATGATTACCACACTTCAGACTTACCAATATGGAATTAGGAGCAGAAGGAAGAAAGTGTACAGAAGCATACTTGATTAGTTGCATGGGTATAGAACGAAGCTCGAAAGTAAGCATTTGCATGTTACTGTACCCCTCCAGATTCAGAACCACACCCGAACCAAGCAATTGGCACTTCTTTTTAACTGGCCAAATAGAGCTCAACAGTAGGAAACATCTAGGGAACCTGCACCAATCTAATATGCCAACCAAAGTAACAGGGCCATCCAAAACCAGCATGTTTGCTGAATGTCCGAAGATTGATAGAAGGTGTTGGTTTGATCTCCCAACCACAGTGGCCCAACGGCCACTTGGGCCTTGACCTCGTGCCCTGATCGGGGGCGTCCAGTCCATCTATGGCTGGCGGGCCCCCGTCACACTGCGCATTAAATAGAGGTGGGGCTGGTGGCTCTCGATACGAGGTTCGCCTGAGCCGTACGCCTCACCTAGAAACCCTACTCCGATCTAACAGAGGGGCACAGCCAGTGACGGGAAGCACCGCCGCCGCCACGCCACTGCCTCCACCACCGCCGGTCTCCATCGCTACTTTGACCGTCGCTGCCGTGCGCAGATCTTCACCGATGAACCAGCGAAGGCAGGGAGCTCCTCCGACGGTCAGATGCTCCTACATCTCCCTCTCTCTCTCTGTCTCCTACTCCCGAATGAAGCTCTAGGTCTATTTGATTCAACTGATAAAGAAATCACCCACTGGATCCACACCTAGATGAACCAAAGTAGCTAACAATGGTATCAGAGCCACTGATCTAGTGTGCGGATCTTGTCAGGGGCAAGAAACCGATTAGAAAGAAAAGATAGACTAGATCCGTTCGGATCTAGACAGAGAAGGGGTCAGCCGAACCCTAACCCTACGAAGAAGCGCGTGGGGAAGAAGAAGAACAGTCTCAAACCCTAACTGGGTGAAGACGGAAGGGGCTCGGCTTCAAGACCGCTTGATCCGAAACCCTAAACCCACGACCAGATCTCGGGGAAAGAAATAGAAAGAAAAGAGAAAAGAAGGTGATACAAATCGATTCGAAATTTCACCAAACCCTAACCCTAAAATCCCTAGTCTAGTTCGTAGATCTAGATTGGGGACAGAAAAAGAAAAGAGAAAAAGATTGACCGATCCGGATCGGATCGAGAAAGAACAGACCGCAACCCTAACCCTAACTGTGATCCTGAATCAAGAAAGAAAGGACGGATTGGAAGGGGTTTTCTCCTACCTGGGGATCCCTTGCGCCGTCACCACCGCCTGCCGTCGCACTGGACGTCGCGTGGGACAGGGCACCATCGCCAGGCTACTCGGCAACGGCCCGCTCAGCCACGGGCGAGCGCGCGCGCTGACGAAAAGCCCAACGGCGGCGCCGGCTTTGCACCTCCAGTCCGCAATCATGGACGGCTGCTGCTCCTTCCATGGCTGGACCACGAGCGGCGCTAGAACAGAGGAGAAAGGGAGGGAGATAGATCGGCTGGCCGGCTGGAGACTCGCAGCGGAGGCGGCGGCGCCACCTCCTCGCAGTTGCCGGCGGCCACCGCCACCTTTCCGTCGCAGCCGCTCCGTTCTGTGGAAAGAAAGGAAAGGGAGAAAGAAATGAGGCTAGGGTTCTAGGTTTGCCGGCCGCGACGCCGGGTTTTGTTCGGGCGAAGAGGCCGGGAGACCGTCGGATGAGCGTGGATGATGGAGATGAAGCGGGCCACTCAGCGGCCCAGACAGGCGAGCGCGCCGCGGCGCTTTGCCGGCCCAGGCCCACGTTGCGGCCTGGGTGGCTGCGCGCATGCGTGCCGAGTTGGGCCGGGCCATTTTGATGGTTGGGCCACAGCGCAGTAAAAGTTTAAGCCATTTTCGTTTTCTAATTTTTTCAGTGATAAATGGCTCAAAGAAAATTGGAAAAGAGAATTTTCCTGTGAGTAAAATTCAATAATTATGTTCATAGTTCCGCTGCAAAGTTAAAGGTTTATTGTCTTCTAATTTGAAGAGCAGTTATAGTTATTCAGTAAATGATGAAAAGTTTATCCTCCAGTTAAAATTGGAACCAAAGAAAAAAAATAATTGGAGGAATAGTTGGTTTATAGATAAGATGAATTATAATATTGTTATTTTCTGACCAACGTTGATGATAACAATATTATAAGTTCATTTATGAGTTTAAGCTTAAAGTTAAATTATGGTATTGTTATTTTCTGGCCAACGTTGATGATAACAATATTATAATTCTATGAGTTTTATGTTTAAAGTTTAAATCTCTGATAATTTTGCATCAAAGTGACCAATTTTCAGAGAATAGATAAAGATCAAAGAATGCTCTTAAACTAGAGAAATGTATTTTCATGTTTCCGTTGCAATGAAGTTGATTGTCTTCTAATTAAATTCGAACCAACGAAAGAATTTAATTTTGAGGAGCAGTTCTATGTTTTCAAGATTATTGAATTTCTATACGTTAATTCCATTTCTGCCCAACGGTAATGTGGAATTAATGTATAAGAATGATGTTTTATTCTATTTCGGCCCAACGGTGATATAGAATAGAACATAAAGATTTCAAAGTTTAATGAGCATTATTGTTGAATATTTTATCAGACAAAAGATTTACATGCTTTCATTCTTGAAGGCAGTAAGAGAAATGAGCTGGATACTTGTGACTTAGATGATGAAATGCCTAAGGGCAAGTTATATATGAAAGAATGCAATTGCTTAAGGGTCTGTGTTCTCTTTAAAGAATGGCTTCAAAAGAAAAACATTCTAGGATATTGATTCAAGAAAAGAGATAGATCAATGAGAGTCTTCATTGAGAAATGTCTTTTATGTACTCTCTATGAAGAAGAATTTTTTTCAGTTTCACTTATGAGAG